CAATATGAACATGACTTCTCTCATTTATTTTTATATAATACAAATATACTTAATTTAAGCAATTATTTATCCTTCGATTACTACGTTGTTGTTATGTGCTGTGGAGTCATCTCCAACTCATAGCAACCTTATGCGCAACAGAACGAAACACTGCCTGGTGCTGTGTCCACTTCACTATCCCTACTATACCTAAGCCCACTGCTCCAACCACTGTGTCCATCCGTCTCATTAAGGGCCTTCCCCTCTTTCGTTGACCCTCCACTTTATCAATGTTTGATTACTATATCCTGTATAGTATTCATTACCTTTATATAAAGACCCAAGAGAAGCAACTCCTAACTTGTCTACATTCTGTAGCCATTAATGCCTAGTGACAGCAGCTGGTTGATCTATCAAAACCATTAAACTGGCAGTTTCAGAACATGTATTTATTAAAATCTTTCTTTAACTCTGACTTGATTCTCCTTCCAACCTATGATTACTCTATTTTCTGTGTATACTTCTCACACAGACGGGGACCTCAATCTTTCTTTTCTTTGCCAATCTACTACTTTCAGAGCCTGCCTTCTCCCTCCAATTTCTATCCCATGTTCCAAACTTCCGATTTCTCCACCTACATGTTTCCACTCCAAATCTATTCATATTCTAGTTGAAGGAGACAGTATCAACTATGGAGAAATCTTCACAACAAATAGTAATGAACAACTGGATAGCTACATGCAAAGGAATGAAGTTGTACCCCTATCTCACACCATAAATTGACTCAAAATGGATCAAAGGCCTGAACAAGAGAGCTAAAACTATAAAATTCATGGGGGAAAAAAACAATTTTTGTGACCTTGGGTTAGACAGTGGTTTCTTAGATTAAGATACCCAAATCACAACCAAGAAAAGGGAAAAAGATACACTTCATCAAAATTAAAACCTTTTTGTTCTTCAAATGACAAATCAAGAAAATGAAATTATGGGACAAAATATGCTCAAATCATGTATCTGATTAAAAAAAAAAAAAAGATTAGTATCCAGAATGAAAAACTCTTGTAACAGTAATAAAAATTGGCAAAAGAGCTGAATACATTCTCCAGAGAGTGAGCCAAAAAAACTGATGAAAAGATACATTAATTATCAAGGAAATACTAATCAAAATCACAGTGGGATAGCTAATCACACCCACTAGTTTGGCAGTTCTTGAAGTAACCATACAACCAAGCAATTCCACTTCTAGGTTATGCTCGAGGATTGGAAATGTCCACACGCAGATTGTTGTTGTTGTTATGTGCCCTCGAGTCGGCCCCGACTCATAGCGACCCTTCCTTGGGTTTCCGAGGCAGTATCACTACGGAAGTAGGATTGCCCAACCTTCCTTCCGAGGAGTGCCTGGTGGGTTTGAACCGCCAGCCCTCTGGTTAGCAGGCAAGTGTCTTAGTCACTATGCTACCAGAGCTCACACAGATTAGTAGTTGCCTAAGGCTTCGGAATTTTGGGGGTTGGGGAGAGGACCAACAGTTAATGACATTTTTTGGGGTGATGAAAATGTTCTGGAATTAGTGGTGATGGCTGTACAACTCTGGATATAATACAAGCTATTTATTTAACTGTACACTTTAAGTGGTGACTTTTATGTGAGAATTTTAAAAAAAACTTTGGTTATTAAAGAAACAATCAATGAAATTAAAGCTGAATAAGGACTGTGGGAAGTCTGGCAATCTACTTCTGTAGTGATACCACCTTGGAAACCCAAGGAGGGATCACTGTGAGTTGGATCCAACTCCACAGCAGTGCACTGCATTTGTTGTGTAACCACTGTGATGGCTAATGTTATGTGCCAACTTGGCTAGGCCATGAGTCTCGGTATTACATAATTATCCTCCATTTCATTATCTCACGTTAAATGTAGTCTCCCTGGGGGTGTGGTCTGGATCCAGTATCTGTGGATGTTCTGGCAAAGCTCGTGCTCTAGCCTGAATCCAACTTATCATCTCTTACTTTTGGTTCTTGGGATTTGAGCCAGAAGCCTGCCATCTGACCTGCAAGTTCATCAGCCCCTACAACCACAAGTCAGAAGCCTCTAGCCTGATGCCTGACTCACGGACTTGGGACTTGCCAGCCTCCAGAAATGCATGAGCCATTTCCTTGAAGTAAGTATTGGTATCTACTTATATGCTTCACTGTTTTTGCTCCTCTGGAGAACTCAGCCAAAGACAGACACTATGTTTTTGTGTGTGAGGTGTTCCATTTTAAATAGGGCTGTCAAGGAAGACTTCACTCATAAGGAAACACATGAACAAAAGACCCGGAGGACGTAAACTAGACAATCAAGTATAGTGATCAAGTAATAAATTGTTAACATTAAAGTTTTATTATAAAAATGATCTGAAATAATATACTTTCTCTCATTTAGAAAGTTAAGGACTAAAATCCAGAAATTTAAAATGGTGGCCATTTTGAGAAATTTACAAGTTTTTCAAAGGACAATGCCTCAAAATCGTTGGTCTGAAAAGTAAAGAATATTTCCTTGACAATATTTAAAATACAAAAGTTAATACTGCATTGATGACAAAAGCACATTTCAATGCCTGCCTTATTTTTGAAAAAGAAATGAATATTCATCACAGCTTAGTAGCCACTTTCATTTTCTATCCAGTCTGTCATCTCAGTCTCAAAAATGCTCAGCAACTTTTTTCAAACAGAAAGTACAAGACTGAGATAACAGTACTATCACCCTCCCATAGCAAAGAAGACATGACATTAATCCATCATTTTGAAAGACAGAATATAAGGTTTTTTTGTTAGAATAAAAACGATTACACTCCAAGTTCCATGTATTTACTTTTTATTGAATTTGTTACTGTTACAGAGTTCTTGCATTGCCAAAACCATGCCTGAGAATTCAAAGAAAGAAATGGTACAATGGACAGCCTCATCTACCCATCATACAGTATATAAAACTTGATTCATGTGCATTTTGTAATTTCACAATCTGTTAAAAAGTTGTAACAAGAGTTGGAATTTTAAATCTGCTGCAGGTCTTTAGATTTCTAGTACAGTATGCCATTAAATAACACTTCCACATACTCATCTCAATTCATTCCTCAGTAATATAACCCCCAGTAAGATTGTGCTGGAAAAGACATACTTTTCAGGGAAATTTTGTGGCTCAACATTCAAGAGATTATTTGTTAAGTTTTTTAGTTCCCAAATGAAGCCTTTAGTTTAACCAAGAATCCCTTGTTTCTCTTTGAATCATCCAACCTCCCCTTGGCTCAACTATTCTCCCCAATATATCAGAAAACAGGAATCCTGCCTGCCACCCCAAGGAATACCAGGAGTGCTTGGCAGGTCCTGTCTGGAAACACAAACCCTCCCTAAGAGTCCAATCCTGTACTGACACGCCAATCAAGACCAAACTCCTATAGGAAAATGCTCCCCTATCAGGGTAGTTTTACTCACCCATTTGTTTCACTCTTGCCAATACCAAGTCTACAATTCCTGCATTTGGCAAAGGGATTTATTATAGAGAAACGCAGACTAGTGCATCAAATGGTCACATACCACTTTGAAATATTTCTATTGAACCAAAAAGACAAAACTAGAAAATTACCAGAATATCTCATTATATGGGAGAAACTTTTCAATAACCCTGCGTAGCTTCAAGTCCCTTTTAAGGACTGAAAATTACTGGGTAGTTTAAGCTGTAATTATTAAAAACAGAAGTGCTATATCACCTGTCTTTTGCCTTGACTACCCAAATGGACAACATAAAGACATATTGAAAGGGTAGTAACAGCGCTAACTGGGACAATCGCTGCATTTACAGACTGTCCAGACCCTTAACAAATTGGGCACAAGTACGGTATCTAGGAATTCTTATAAAAGATCACACACGATTCATGAAATGGGTTTTAGGTGAGGTTCTGGTCACATTGCTTTTGAATTTACAAGGACAGGTAAGTGAATGCTTTAGCCTGCCATTTTACTACACAATTTAGACCTGATTAGAGGCTTTAGCAGCACCTGAAATAGAGCCCCCAGTATCCACTGCCCTTCACATCAAAGGCTTTTTGGTTCCACTCTAGGGGTTGGCAAATTCACGAAATGCTTCACAATCCTAATGCATATTTCAGGTTGCTTAACCATATAATATGCTCTGTCAAAAAACTTATTCCAAGTCAAAGCGAAAAAAAAAAAAAAAAAAAAAAAAAAGCCTTATTTGTAGACATAGAAAAAGCATTACCCAAATAACAAATTACTAAAAGAGACGAGATCATTCCCTCCCCACCCTCCCTTCCCCGCTTGGTGGAATCAAGCTTGGTTTAATTTGTGGTTACCTCAGAATACAACGTTAAGTTTTAAATTATAAATCACAGCCCTACACAGATTATCTGAACACATCAGTTCTTTTGAGAGCGGAAGTCTAATATAGCCACAGCCTATTACATAAAGTATTCCTTATAGGTGGGGCAAAGGACAGGTTAATTAAGGTCACTTAAATCTTGTCTTTTACAGCAGATCAGAACCCAGATGGCTGACTTTCTGCAGGATTTCTGATAGGAATCCAGTAGAGCTGGTTTCAAGTTTCATATCAACACTTAATAGCTATAACCTTCTTATCCAGAAGTTGTGATCCACATGAAGTCCACAATGAGTGCAGCAAATCTGAGGTAGTCAACCCTTACGAAGGCTCAGTATCTGAACATAAAAAGATTTTGAAATGACCACTGGCTGCAGTTTTTGGTTTTTTGTATTTGCTGAGTAATTATGAAAGAACACTGCTGTATCTAATTCACGCATTTATAGAACAATGAAAATTTCCCCTAAATCCAATATACACAAAGAGCAGTTGTGACACTTTAAACTTCCATAGTGCAATAGGGCCGATCATTTGTATCGAGTGGTCTGCATCGGTAGCTGTAGATCCAGCAGAGATCAGATGATGAATGGCTGTTCACGATGGTTAGCTGAAGTCTAGTTACCTTAGTAGGGTTAGCAAAGACCATTCCTTAATTGTACTGTGTGTGGCTGCTTTTCTGATTTTCAAGCACAGCATACTGGTTGTCTAGCTGAAGTTTAAGGGCCTGGTTTTTTGAAACCTCATCCCTACCTCTATTTTTGTGTCTTACTACTTCAAAGCTCTTCTCCATTTCTTTATCCCTAAGGGAAAAGAAATGTAATCAGTAAATATTTCTTCACTAGGTTGTTTTGAAAATATTCTTCCTTGGGGGGGAAAGGAGGGGAAAGCAAAGCCACCCTTTCGAAGAATCTTGGGGGAGGGACAGAAGGGGAAAACTGGTATATAAAATCCATATAAAACCATTTTTTTTAAGGCTTCAATTGAAATGTAAAACACAGAATACTGAATGAAGCTTTAAAGTCCTATTTTCTGTGATAGCATATCTATTGAGTGATTTTAACTGCAAACTTATAGTGAGACCAACTTGAAGACAACTGGGAAAAGGTAAAAAGCTGTCTAATGACATGTGATTCCTTGTTAAGACTGACTTTTACTTTTAGTAAACAACAGACACTTTGTCCATCTCTCTTTCTTATGCATAACGGGTAGCAATTTTCTCATTCCACTCATGCTCTACTCATTATCCAATGGTTTCTCCTCACTTCTATTTTGTGGGAGTGGATCAGATCAGGTAAAGAAAGGTGAGTGTGACGAATCACTGCCCTCTCACTGCAGCCCCTTATATATCTGTAGGATGGAGCAGAGGAGCAAATCCAAGTGGAGGTTTAAATTCAAGCCAGCTGTGCTCTCAAAGCGGAGAAAAGACTGGGATTTACTTTTAAAGCCACCCAAAGAAACAATATTTCCATCTGATGTCATTTACATTTCTTCCCATTTTATTTATTTTTTAAAATTCAAGTCCCTAAATAAGATGTGGATGTGCCATATGTGGTCATTTAACTCCAGGTAGCATTCATTTTAAGTACCTGCTGAAATAAGATTATTTTAACATTAGATTTATAAATGCCAACATCTTTTACCTATTCACATTAACTGGATATACAATAAAATACTGCTCTTATGTCTCTAAAGTTTCTATATTGTAAGAAACAGAAACTACTAATAGTGTACTTAAACATAATCTTAAATGAACTGGAATTTTCATAGCCACAGTACAACATAAACCACGGATAACAGAAATAGATTTTGCAGACAGGCTCGTCTCGGACCTGTACCCATTTCCTCCCTCATAGGCATATCCTAAGTCCTATCCTAGTTCCAATAAGGAGTAATTCCCCTTCAGGTATGTTTTCATAGACCCTACCTCTCACTCCCTGGCCAATGGGAAGACTGGGCTCCAAAATAAAATGCAATTAATTTTAATACTTACTTCCGGCTTTCTACATGCTTGGCAGTGGACTGCAGGGAAGGGAACTGTGTATCACTGTATATTTCTGGTGGTCCTTGTGGTGTTTTCTTTGTTGTGGTTAACCTGGCCCCAGGAGGCCTATACACACCACTAGTCATCGCCGGTTCTGGAGTTTCTGTAACTAAATATTTGATAACAGTTAAGAGAAACTATTCAAATGCTAGGCAGTTTAATAAGCTATTTCTGCATTCTCAATCATTTAGCAATTACAGAAAACAAAACAAAAACCTGATGTAAGAAAGGTGTCTGAGTCAGAAAGTAGAAGGAAAAATATCTGCTTCAAAGTGACAATATACTTTTTTTCTAGGGTAGTGTTCTAACTCCTCTTCCATGTATAGTTCTTGTATATGTGAATGAGTTCTATAAGCCAAGTTACTGGGCAGGGAATAAGAAGTGGGAAAGAAATGTGCTGACCCTGGAAGATAGATCTTGTCAAGGACTTTCTTTACCATGACTACTTTCACCCTCAGTTCACACATCCTAAATGTGTACAATCACTTATTTACCTGGTTGCTGGATTAAGTGAGATGCTGTATGTAAGGAATTCCCTGCAGCTCTTACTTAACAAAATGTCTGTGTAGTTTTTAAACAGGTCTAAAGGTCAGTGACTTAACACAAAATAAAATGACTAGCTATCCTTCATGACTGCCATTGTCTTCCACATCAAAGGATCTTCTTTGAAGGTTTTCTCATTTTATTGCAAAACAAGAAAAAAATTAAGTAGCTGAGCAGCCCAAAGTCTTAACTTTGGTTAACATTTTGGAGACAAAACCTTCCAGCTTTTCTTATGTATCTTTTTGTTCATCCTCAAAGTGGGCTCAAACAGTGTTTTATATGCTTTGCACTTCACTAATCAAAAACATCTTTCATTTCAAATAAGCATTTACACTTACATTTACTAGCTAAAATATAATGCAGCCATCTCAGCAGTGCTTAATTCTGTTGTACACAGGGTCACACTATGAGTCAGGATTGACTTCATGGTACCTAATAGCAATAACAACATGCTGTGCCATCGAGTTGATTCCATCTCACCCATGTGACACGTGTGTCACCCATGACAAAGCAAAACTGCCCCAAAGGGTTTCCCTAGGCTGTAATCTTTACAGAAGCAGATCACCACGTCTTTTTCCTGTGTAGTGGCTAGTGGGTTCAAAGTGCCATCCTTTTGGTTAGCAGCCAAGCACTTAAACATTGCACCACCAAGGCTCTTAATAACACCATAAAGGTTTATTATTCTGTATAGTTTTAGTAATATAGGGGAAACCTTATAACATTTATTCATTACAAAATAATCAAGTGCTTACTACATGTCAGATACCATTCTCTAAGCTACACACTGGAAATATAACTGTTAGCAAAACAAAACAAAACTCCCTGCCCTTTGTGAACTGATATTCCAGAGCTCCATTGTCCAAAACAGTAGTCACTAGCCACATATGGCTATTTAAATTGATTAAAATTTAAAAATTCAGTTCCTTGGTCACACTAGTCACATGATCAACAGCCACGTACTGGACAGCACTATTCTAGAAGGAAGGAGCTCTGGAGATGCGGTGGGTAAGGCATTTGACTGCTAACCGGGTTGGTGGTTCAAATTCACTAGCTGCTCTATAGGAGGAAAACGAAGCAATCTATTTCTGTGAAGATTTACAGCCTTGGAAACCCAGTGGGGTTTGCTATGAGTTGGAATTAACTTGATGGCAGTGGGTTAGGTTTGTTCTTTCATTCTATAAGAAGGAAACAAAATAAGTAAAAACAGGTAAGTGCTATACCAAATATTAAAGGAAGGAAGTTTGTTATGTGAGTGCCTAAGGCTAAGACTGCTAACCAGAAGGTTGGTGGTTCAAACCCACCAACTGCTCCGTGGAAAAGAGTTGGGGCAATCCACTTGTGTAAAGATTTACTGCCTTGGAAACCCAAGGGGGTTGCTATGAGTTGGGATCAACTTGATGGTGGTAAGGTTTTTCTTTTTTTAAAAAATTTAAAGATAGGTAGGGAAGTTAATGGAAAGGGTTGTGATTTTAAGTAAGTTGGATGGGGAGGATCTCATTAATAAGGTAAAAACTGAGTAAAAACTTGAAAGAAATAAGGGGACAAATACACAGAACCAGTTAGCAAACTGTGGTCCACAAACCAAATCCAGCTCATCACGTATGGGCTGCTTTACTGGAACACAGCTATGTTCATCTGTGTACATATTGCCTATGACTGCCTTTATGCTGCAACAGTAGAGCTAAGTAGCTGCAACAGAAATGGCAATGTCCTTTTCACAGAGTTTGCAGACCCCCTGACCAAAGGAGAAAGAATTCCAGGGCAAAAGCATAAGCACAAAAGGCCTGCAGCAGATAGTTTATCTGTTATGTTTAAGGATATAAAGTTAGAAAGGGGGGTGGCTTTCACAAAGCAGATTGTATAAGGCCTCCTTGTAAGTCATCAAGAACTTTTCCTCTGAATGAGAAGGGAAGCCACTGGAAACTTCTGAATAGCAGAGTGACACACTCACTTCTATTTTAAAATAATCACCATTTTGGCTGCTGCACAGAGAAAAGAGAGTACAGTGGAAGGAAGAAGACAACAGGGTAGAAAGGAAAGCAAAAAAGAGGGTACCTCCTGGGTGGAAAAGGGCGATGTACCTAATGTGAGTGACCAACATGGTGGCATTAAGGAAGAAGACATAGAGGAGTGCGTGGGAGATGCAGACAACAAAGATGAACCCTTTCGTACATACAGTACTGCACTGTCAGTGAAGGGAAACATGGATATATGGGTAGATAGATAGGTGGATAGGCCGAACTATTAGGTATGTCTATGCAGCGGGGAGTGTGCCCAAGACCATGTATAGGGTTGGAAGATAATGGTTCCACAAGTGTATTCGTATGTTCTGTAAGAATTCCCAGGTGTATAGTAGAGCTGACAAGGGACAAGGCTGTAGTCACTGCTTGGTCACAGCCAGCTACCCAGAGGGACTGAGTAGTTGAACCTGTGGGCTTGGGACCAAAGTCGCAGGGGACATCAAGCTCAAATGGCATAACATACTACATAAAACATTGTTCTACCTCCTACTTTGGCAAGTAGTGACTGGGATCTTAAAAGCTTGCAAGCAGCCATCTAGATGCAATGATGGGTCTCTTGTCATCCAGAGCAAAGAATGAGGAAAACCAAAGACTCATGGAAATAATTAGTCCCAGCAACTGGTACACCATAAGATCCTCAGCCTATACGACTATGAGACCAGAACTAGATGGTTCCTGGCTACCACTGTCAACCACTCGGAGGGGGATATATGTAGGAGATCCTGGATAGAGAGGGAGAACAATGTGGAATGAAACTCAAAATCATTTGGGAAAAAAAAAAGGAAGGGGGACCAGGTTTGCTGGTCTCAAAGAGCCTGGTGGAACCACTGAGACTATGGCCCCCTGCTGCCCTTCAGGTCTGGAAATGAACCCACACCTGTGGCTTCCAGATAAACGAAAGACAGGCATATGAGATGAACATTTACCTGAGATAGATACAGTCCTTGGAGAAAACAATCATGGGAGAAAGAAGGGCTATTTATGCACAGGGCAACAGTGTAACTATCGGGAGGAAGTGGGATGAGAGCTGTTGCACTGGAGTAAATTGTGGTCAATGTCATGAAACAAAGTGTATGTGAACTGCTGTATGGAAAGTGAATTTGCTCTGTAAACTTTCACCCAAATCACAATTTAAAAAAAAAAGAGGGTACCTCAATAATCCATATAAAAAATTATGGTGGTTCAAACCAGGGTGGCAGCAGTGGAGCTGGTAAGAACCATCACAGATAGTTTGAATTTATGTTTGAAAGTAGAGCCCAAAAGAACTTACTGGCAGAGTATATTTAGATTTGAAGCAGAAGAAAGGAGTCAAAGATGATTTCAAAGTTTGTAGCCTGAAATGAGAAAGCTGTGAGGTAGTGTAGGTATATGAAAGAGTGAAGATTAGTTCAGTTTTGGACACGTTGCATTTGAGTTGCTGGGTAGGCAATGAAGACATACATTCCTGGAGTTTAAGAGACATCTGAGCTGGAGATGAAAATTTGAGTTGTTAGCATATACGTGGATGGGATCACAGGAGGAAGAAGGGTAGATAGAAAAGAGAAGGACTAAGCCTTTGCTTCTGGCTTTCCACATGCCTGGCAGTGGACTGCAGGTTAGCATTTGAAGGTAAAGAAGAGGAGGTGCCAGCAAGAGAGACTGAGAAAAAACCAGGAGGAGGAACGTGGTGTCCTGAAAACCAAAGCATGATCAGCTATGTCAAATGTTTTTTATGGATCAAGTAAAATGAAGTCTGAGATTTGAACACTGGATTTAACAATGTAGAGGTTATCTATGACCAGTGACAGAGAACACGGTAAAATAAAATTAATTAGGGGAAACAAAAAATAACATAGAAAAGAGCTATAAAGGACGTAAAAATGTTAAACATATAGATGTTATTTTTAATTTTTATACTATTCTGCCTAAAGTACTAAGCATACATTAATTTAAAGCTGTGTTTCCCAAACTTTTTTTCATTATAGCCCATCTATGGAGCTTTTTTGAGATAACTCCTGCAGTGTAGTAAATTACTTAGTGTGGCTTTTCTAGCCATAAGTCTTTGTAAACTCTGTGGTGGAATTTGCTGTGAGCAACTGAGGAGCTCTTGATTGTAAAGTTATCCATCTGGGGTATTTCTGTTGGGCGCAACACAAAGCAGTATTCTGGGAGGTTCCTGCTCTCTCTCAGATGCTCAGAATTCTAATGTTATGATTGGTTAGTTTGTCCACTCGGCCAGGCTCAAAAGGAGGCCTCCAAGAGGCAGAAGTCATCTCTCTCTCTGACTGCTGGTTGAGGAAGACATGCTGCTGAAAGAAACATGCACTGCTGAGTGAGACACCGAGGGACACTCACCCTTGGGAAAGAGACTAAGAGAGACTGTTAGGAGAGAGACTGTGGGCTGGGAGAGAGACTGAGCTTTTTTCCTGAACTTGAATTGTAGCCTGGTGCTTCCCTAATAAACCCCATAATCTGTGAGTTCTGTATGGCCACTGCAGTGAATTATCAAACCCAGAAGAGAGGTGGTGGGTGCTTTGGGAGGAACGGTTGGTGAAAGGGCTGGAGGGAGGCAACACGTCTGGCCTTGCAGTAATAGGCCTTGGGCTACTGATGGTGATTCTGTCTTCATCTTGTGCAGTTAGAGGAGGTCAGGAGATGTGGCCTCCTTGTCCTTTTTGCAGAACTCTCTCTGACTGCTGGGTGAGAAGGATGTGCTGCTGAGAAGGAACGTGCTCCTGAGTGACATACGCTGCAGAGAAAGAGACGCAAGAGACACGCATTGCTGAGAGAGAGACCGAGGGACATGCACTGCTGGGAAAGAGACTGTGAGAGACTGTTGGGTGAGAGATGGCGGGCTGAGAGAGACTGAGCAATTTTCCTGAACTTGAATTGTAATCTGGAGCTTCCCTAATAAACCCCATTATCTGTGAGTTCTGTGTGGCCAATGCAGTGAATTATCAAACCCAGGAGAGAGGTGGTGGGTGCTTTGGGAGGAACGGCTGGTGAAAGGGCTGGAGGGAGGCAGCATGTCTGGCCTTGCACAAACAGGCCTTGGGCTACTGATGATGATTCTGTCTTCCTCTTGTGCAGTTAGAGGAGGTCAGAAGATGTGGCCTCCCTGTCTTTTTAGCAGAACTCTCTAATCGCCACACCCTCCCCGTGAAATGTTAATACCACAGAATATGCCATTTATCTGCCTATATACTTTGGCCTGTTGGAGAGCTAAAAACCACTGTAGTATCTTTCTCCCTTCCCCTAAAGCAATTTTCACCTCCCTTCAGCCCTGTTGAAGGAGCTCTGGTGGCACAGCGGTTAAAGCACTCAACCAAAAAGTTGTTACTTCAAACCCACCAGCCACTCCTGCATGGGAAAGATATGGTACTCTGCTTCCATAAAAATTTACAGCTTTGCAAACCCTATGGGGGCAGCTCTACTGTCCTCTGGGTCACTACAAGTATGAATTGACTCAATGGCACTGGGTTTGGTTTTGGTCAGCCTTGTTGAGAACTTACACTGTAAGACATGACAATAAAATGGGGAGGGGGGCAAAATACATGGAACCCAATATTCCTTAGTTGGCTGTCAGAAATATTTTACCATTATAAAAGATCGCAGAAATGTCTTCTCCTATGAAAACTTCTGGGGTTAAACCAGACTTCTGGTAATTATTACTAAAAATCTTAAATGAAGATTATCTTGGAGTCTAGTAAATGAAAATCTTTTACTTATCTTTGTCATTAGTCAAGAGTTATTATTTAAAAAAGAAATTGGAAAAATGCTTAAGTATTTAAATTTGGCAAATCAGTTTATGAATGACTTTTAGACTTAACTTCCAAAATCTTTTTATTTAGGATTTGAAAGTCTCTAAAGAGACATATATAGATCTCTCTCATCTTAGGAAGAGAACAAAGTCCCATTTCATCCTCACCCCACCATAAGCAGGCATACAGCTGGAAGCTGACCATATATAAAACTACACAAAAATTAGTCTTTCTGAAACTTGAGTATTAAGCTTACCAACTACTGGAGCAGGAGATGCTTGTACTGGAGCTGTTTTATTCCAGGGACCTGATGATTTTTCTGTACCACCACCACCACCTCCTCCACCTTCTTCCCAGTTATCACCTGGATCTTCTCTCTTTTCATTATCTTCTTCTTCCTTTTCACTAGTGGAAAAGCAAACAACTGAATTCAATTAAAGATCAGGAAAATAGTATAATTCTAGGTCTGTCAATGCTTATCTATGACCTGGGGAAGTCACTTAATCTCTTCAAAGTCCAAATGACTTGAGAGGGACCTTTACCTTTTATATACTGGGACTTCATTTGACTTCAAGTGAAAAATAGTTTGCTTCTTAAAAAAGTTTACAAACCACTCCATCTAAGGTTTCCACTTCCCTTTTTGCAAACCCCCTCAGGGGTGAACCTCCTTATACACTCAGAGAATATTTAGAAATATTTAACACACTAGCATGATAATCAGCCCTAAGAGCAAAACTCCATCAACTGGCTCAAGTGACAAAAGAAGGCAAGAAGGTAAGTAAGATTTAACCTGAAATGCAAAGAAGAGGGCAATCTGAAGGCTTGAAAGCAAAAGTATTAGATTTTTCTAGGACCACAGAAAACAAAGAGGCATTTAAGGTAAGCATATTTTAGTGGTCAAATTAAGGTTTTTTT